ATCTGAATTAAAATCAAAATTGTAATCTGAACAATTAGTCTCCTTATTATGTTCCCCAAACGAAGTTTGGGAACATATTGTTTTTACTTTTTCTGAATTTTTTCTTTGTTCTCCGGTACTTTTTTGTCCGCGAGTGTTCTCGTAAACTACTCATCTGATCTAGGTGAAACCTTTTTAGGGTCACTAGGTATCTTATGTAGATGTGCGGAACGAAGGTCATTTTGCGCGCACGTGCGTGCAGGTGCGCGCACGTGTAACACGTGAAATGACCAATATAATAGATTTAGCCGTAACTTTTTAAATATTGGATGAAATGCTTTGAAACTCATAATATAAGGATATAATAGTAGTATAGACATGATGACATGGTCAAAATAGCAAGATCTCACGCGCATGCAGGTGCCCTTCGCTGCGATTGGCTGAAACTTAAAGTCTAAATATCTATTTTGTTTTCTGACAAAATCCTTTGAAATTTTGAACATAGTCTTACATTATGAAGATCTACAGCATGATATATAAGAATAATCATGAACGCACGCACATGCACGTGTGCTGCAATCTGATTGGCTAAAACTTTAAATGCCTACAACTTTCTTGGTTCTCAATAATACAGGGTGAAATTTCAAATATGAATAGATATAATGATTGCCTACATTATACTACTATCAAAAGTAAATACATGGACGTGCATGCACATGCGACCGCACACAATGTATTAAGAGACAGTATACTTGAGTGTTTGATGTTCATGCAGAATTAAGAACTTCTAAATGTCAAGACATGTAACATACTGAAGCATGCAGATCTTTTTACCCTTGACCTTAAAACTTAGGTCAAGGTCACTGGTAACCTGAATAAAATGTTGATATTAACTATTTACCAAAATCACCTTGACCTATGAACTTGAAATCGACCTTAACCTTTGTCCTTGACCCAAGGGTAAAAAGAAACATGAAGTACATGTACATGTATCTAGAAACACCTTTCAGAGTTTATTTCGGTTGACAGGTTGGAAGTTAAAGAGGTGGTGGTTTTTAATGACCTTGACCTTTCATCCAAATGTCACAATCAATCTTCAGTTCTTGGAATAAGATACAAGATTCAACTCCAACGTTAAATAGGTTAAGAATAAAAATAACCCCCCTCCCCACCCCCACCCCCCCCCCCCCCCCCCCCCACACACACACACACACAAACAAATCAAATTAATGGCAACGTAGAGAATCACTGTTAAACTCAAATAACACCTCGGACCCACATAAAATTTCAGGAAAACTGCAGAAAAGAGCTCGAGGAAAGTGTATTAAAATATTTCATTTGAGTTTCCAAAGTATATAGAAATTATTAATTTATACAGAAAAAATTACAAATCCTGTCGTGTTTAAAATTAAAGTGCAGATGACCAAAGTTGGCATATAAGCCTTTTATAGCCTATTTATTCAGATGTCGTTAATAGCATTCGATTCTACTGATTTGAAATAATATTTTAATACCAAGCATCCTTTGTTTAATTTACCTTTGAAATTTATTTGAATTTTTTTTTTAGAATTACGCAATCCCCAGAAATAGCGATTTTCGGTATATTAAAAATCAATATACATGTACGCTCCTTCGTAAAATAATCAGATATTTGCTTTCATGAAAAAAATATTAATAAGAAGGTGTTAAACAATATAGCTGACACGAATGTCTTTTTAAACATCTCTTGTAAAACCCAGAGAGTAGCCCCATATGCATTGGAAAAAATGAATAGTTCCGGTCAAAAAACCTTTATATATTTATTTACAAAGTATATAAAATTTACCAGGCACAGGTATCAGAGTTGTCAAAATGGCCTGAGAGGAAATATTAAAAAAATTCTGAACAGAAAGGAAAATCCCTTTTCCATGTATGGAACTACTATTGAATATAACCAACCCCGAGCCCGATCTTAAAAACACGGTAGTAGAAAATTAGAATTTTGCTGTTTTATTAATTTTTTGGCTTTTAACTTCTTTTCTTGAAGCCAAATGATATGAAAACACTCAAGAAGGTGAAAAGACTTCATACTGTTATCTGAATTAAAATCAAAATTGTAATCTGAACAATTAGTCTCCTTATTATGTTCCCCAAACGAAGTTAGGGAACATATTGTTTTTACTTTTTCTGAATTTTTTCTTTGTTCTCCGGTACTTTTTTGTCCGCGAGTGTTCTCGTAAACTACTCATCTGATCTAGGTGAAACCTTTTTAGGGTCACTAGGTATCTTATGTAGATGTGCGGAACGAAGGTCATTTTGCGCGCACGTGCGTGCAGGTGCGCGCACGTGTAACACGTGAAATGACCAATATAATAGATTTAGCCGTAACTTTTTAAATATTGGATGAAATGCTTTGAAACTCATAATATAAGGATATAATAGTAGTATAGACATGATGACATGGTCAAAATAGCAAGATCTCACGCGCATGCAGGTGCCCTTCGCTGCGATTGGCTGAAACTTAAAGTCTAAATATCTATTTTGTTTTCTGACAAAATCCTTTGAAATTTTGAACATAGTCTTACATTATGAAGATCTACAGCATGATATATAAGAATAATCATGAACGCACGCACATGCACGTGTGCTGCAATCTGATTGGCTAAAACTTTAAATGCCTACAACTTTCTTGGTTCTCAATAATACAGGGTGAAATTTCAAATATGAATAGATATAATGATTGCCTACATTATACTACTATCAAAAGTAAATACATGGACGTGCATGCACATGCGACCGCACACAATGTATTAAGAGACAGTATACTTGAGTGTTTGATGTTCATGCAGAATTAAGAACTTCTAAATGTCAAGACATGTAACATACTGAAGCATGCAGATCTTTTTACCCTTGACCTTAAAACTTAGGTCAAGGTCACTGGTAACCTGAATAAAATGTTGATATTAACTATTTACCAAAATCACCTTGACCTATGAACTTGAAATCGACCTTAACCTTTGTCCTTGACCCAAGGGTAAAAAGAAACATGAAGTACATGTACATGTATCTAGAAACACCTTTCAGAGTTTATTTCGGTTGACAGGTTAGAAGTTAAAGAGGTGGTGGTTTTTAATGACCTTGACCTTTCATCCAAATGTCACAATCAATCTTCAGTTCTTGGAATAAGATACAAGATTCAACTCCAACGTTAAATAGGTTAAGAATAAAAATAACCCCCCTCCCCACCCCCACCCACACCCCCCCCCCCCCCCCACACACACAAACAAATCAAATTAATGGCAACGTAGAGAATCACTGTTAAACTCAAATAACACCTCGGACCCACATAAAATTTCAGGAAAACTGCAGAAAAGAGCTCGAGGAAAGTGTATTAAAATATTTCATTTGAGTTTCCAAAGTATATAGAAATTATTAATTTATACAGAAAAAATTACAAATCCTGTCGTGTTTAAAATTAAAGTGCAGATGACCAAAGTTGGCATATAAGCCTTTTATAGCCTATTTATTCAGATGTCGTTAATAGCATTCGATTCTACTGATTTGAAATAATATTTTAATACCAAGCATCCTTTGTTTAATTTACCTTTGAAATTTATTTGAATTTTTTTTTTTAGAATTACGCAATCCCCAGAAATAGCGATTTTCGGTATATTAAAAATCAATATACATGTACGCTCCTTCGTAAAATAATCAGATATTTGCTTTCATGAAAAAAATATTAATAAGAAGGTGTTAAACAATATAGCTGACACGAATGTCTTTTTAAACATCTCTTGTAAAACCCAAAGAGTAGCTCCCTATGCATTGGAAAAAATGAATAGTTCCGGTCAAAAAACCTTTATATATTTATTTACAAAGTATATAAAATTTACCAGGCACAGGTATCAGAGTTGTCAAAATGGCCTGAGAGGAAATATTAAAAAAATTCTGAACAGAAAGGAAAATCCCTTTTCCATGTATGGAACTACTATTGAATAAGTTCATTTTGATTGGTTAGGTATTGGCGTGATACTCTTAGTCGACTTTAACCCTGCCTTGTCGTCGGAATAAAACCAACTTTGAGCCCGAGGTTAAAATAAGTAGAGAAATAAATTTGAATCGATATATTAAAAATATGACATATGCTTGAAAAATGGTAAATTTATATATGTATTTTTTTTCTTTGATTCGTGGGATAGAAAGATATGTTAATCGCTTAATCAACATGCCATAATCATCTTGCATATGCATGTACATGTACGTGTGCGCACATGCAAAACGTTAAACAATATATCGTTGATAGTTGATATCATTGTAACTTTTATATTCTTAAATGAAATCTTGGGATACTTAGCATATTTATAAAAGGTCTTAGAGGAATAAGGCACGATAAGGGACATGGGGAGCGTTTGGGGAACATCTGTAACGGTCCCCGTTACAATTAGCACTAGTTTTATTTGGTTTTAAATGTATCATGATATGTATCGTATTGCACCTAATGTATCGTGATATGTATGGGATTGGCTAAGTTCAGTATCGTCCCAGCCCTAGTAACTGGGGACCATAGATAAGCCTTATTGAGATTTGTCCTTTAAAAAAAAACTATGGCTTTAAGCTTTTAAATTACAAAATCCCAATAGATGTATATCATGTATATATATTGCAGTGTCCTAATTAAAAAAAATGTTTAATCAAGAAAATACTTTTTGCTCCAATCATTATATTCTTTACAGCAATATGTTACAATTAAATATGTTATAATAAGAGAAATTCTGCCTTGGGTGTAATTATCAAGCACTTGTTAAGAAGACTTACAGAAAATGGCATATGTCAAATTCGAGATAAAAAAGCTAATTCAGAGAAATTGTGTCAGGCTGTGGCAGGGCACCTTAAGATTAGCCCATGATCACAATGTAGTTCTGTAGGAGTGGGATTATGGATAAAAATCATATATGGACATGTTTATAAAATATATTTAAATTAATATATCTTATTATGACTATATGTAAGATTTATATAAGTATGAATTTTAAATGTTTCAGATCCATACTCACTTGAAAGAGATGGCAGCTGAGACATTTCAAAATGTTTTGGATGTATACAGACAGGAGAAGTTGATAACTTCAAAAGCACATTCCATAAATGTTCAATCAAGATGGGGATGGGGAGAAATCAAGATGGCTCTGATTGGCATTCATGTCCTTGGTGCAGACAGAGACTATTCTAGATGTTTAGAGCATCTTGAGAAGATACCAGAGCTACCTGACATTGATGTCACTGAGGCAAGGAAAATCTTCCTTTATCAGTTTGTGGAAAATTCCAGTCCAGATTTGTATTTGTGTCACCTCGGACATAACCTGTACGTGAATGCCTTGGTGGATAAAAACCAGGAGGTTCTCCAAAAACTCCAAAATGACTACCATGTAGATTTCACATTGTTTGAAAACCCTCTACATTTGGCCGTGGAGTGCCATCTTCTTCCTATGATGGAATATTTAGTGAATGAATAGGGAATGGATGTGAATTGTGTTGATGACAAAGGTAACACACCACTGCATCATTTGATGAAGTATCGTCAGCATCCTATTTTAATTATAAGTTTTGATTCTGAAAAGTCTAATGCAAGATATGACAACAGCTTAAGAACTGAAGTTCTGCAATTTTTAAAGAACAGGGGTGCCAATCTGTTAGTTCGTAACAAAAGGGGAAGAACACCCTTACAGTACGCTATTGTAGATCAAAACATAACAGACGTTGACGAGTTCATTGATGCGTATAGCAATTTCAACGACTTTAATCATGAAACTCGTATAGAAATCTTAGAACTCGTAGCAGCAAGGCAGATATTCAGTGACAAGGAGGAAGAGTTTGTTGGAGGAATTAACACCTACAAACGTGCTCTGGTCGAAAGAAGGAAACATGGTATTCCAAATACTAGTAAAATGCCCCCACGGGAAGTTTTCTTTGAGAGTACTGTTGAACCTGATGTAGAAAATTCCGAGTTTTTGGACTTAATCTGCACTCCAGGAGAAAAAAGGAAAAGACATATTCTTGGCCTTCTGATTTATGAGAGAATTTTAGGATGTAGACATTTTTGTTTCCTGAAGAAAAGTTTTTCATATCTTACACGAGATTTACAACCAGGTCTTAGGGACGGAGTAGTGTCTACCCATCACCTTTTGCAGAGTTTGACATTTTATTTCAATATCCTGAAAAATGAAAAGGTGTTTAAGGATGGTGAGGAAGAGCCCAGGAATTGGTTTGATCAGCCTTTCGATGTTGAAAAAGTGTCTAAACTGGTAACATGTTTCGACTTTGAAAGATACAATTGTATGTTTAATACAGACGAACTTCTGGATCTGCTATTAAATGTATATATTAGCGTATTCCAGTTAAAAATTGAGCTGGGTGAAGTACCAAGTGAGAAAGACAGAGTTCATTTGTTCAGTTTTTTAGACATCATTTTCTCACGATCATTGAGTAAAGAAAATGAATTCACTTTGAAGGAAGTGCAAAACTCCTCATCAATGCCAGCAAGTGTGGACCAGTTGGACTCATTCACAGTATTGTGGATCCTATGCTGACACTAAGAGGGGAATACTATGTTTACATTTTCAATCACGGTCCAGAAATTTTGGAAATGCTCCTGGATTGTGGGGCCTCTATAAACGAACTGAACGAACAAAAAATGAACATCCTGCAATTGTTTTTTGTAAATACCCTCGAAAACTTCGATGAAGAGTCATATGAACTTTTCCCAGCTGCTGAAGTTGACAGTTTTAATAACCAATTGAGGAAAGTTGTGAATATAGCATTGGAAAGGGGTGTGCATGTAGATAAGGGATGTGTGATCAGACAATTTGGGCAAGAAGTTTTTAAAACTCCGTTGGATCAAGCTGTGGGCACAGAATTTTATCCTATTCTGAATAATCCCAAGTACAGAAGTCTTAAATGTCTTGCAACATCTGTAATTATAGCAGAAGACATTCCGTACAGGAATGAGATCCCACTAGAACTCATTCATTGGATTGACTTTCACATGGGAAAGGGAGAATTTTATAATTAAATTCATAAAATGTAAAGCCTTTGTCTTTGTTTTTCAATGGAAATAGTTGTTAAACCCTTTGGGGGAAACCCGGAATAATGATTTAAATCTATAAAATCACTTGTTATTTCTAGGTTAGAGTTTTCATGATTTAAAAATCATTTGAAGAATGGAATTTTATTATATATTAAGAAGACATGAATTCTTCATATGGAAATGACAAAAATTAAACCTTCAAAAAAAGTTATGATTTTCAGGAACTCTGTTATTGATGTCTTCAACAAGGGTTTTATTTCTTTACACTAAAAAGTATTTTTTTAAAGAACAACTCCTGTAGATTTAGAGATAACTCTTGCAGATATGGATGCACTTTTATTTTTGCAAACAAAAACATATCAGTTGTTGATGAATTTGTTTACATCTAGTTGTAAATTTTTCTAGTACACTGTAATGGATCTTTTGTTAGTAATAAAACTAAGGTACTTGAGTAGATAAGATATGGTTTACTAAAACAGTAAGATGTTTAGATTTGCCTTTAGACATTCAGTTTATATTATATGTCAGTGAGATACCACCCATATTACTTTTTGGCTGTGAAGTAGGCCTTCTATACTTTGATGTTTTGAACTATACATCATTACATGTATATTAGTAATTCACATTAGTACCCTTCATTTATTCATGCTTATATGTAATAGTTTAAATTTTGTAATGTATCATATGTATTTATATACCCCAGCTGGGGTCACCGTCTAAAATAAAAACTTGAAAACTTGAACCAAGCACAGAAAATGATGTGATATATCTGATCAAAAAAGCAAAGCTTCACTGTGTTTTCTAACATAAATAAGATCCTGTAAGTATGATAGTATATAGGTTCAAGTCTTTTTATACGCCCGTCTTAAGACGGGACGTATTATGTTATAGGCTTCGTGTCTGTCCGTCCGTCTGTCCGTCTGTTAGCTTTTCTCATGTCCGGCTCATAACTTTAATACTATAAGGCCTAGAGTTATCAAACTTTGTCAGCTGATACATCTTGGGTAGAAGGTGTGTCGCGCACAAAAAGTAGGTCGCTCTGACCTATAATTAAAAAGTTATAGCCAAATATGGAAAAATCCTGTCCGGTCCATAACTAGAAAACTATTAGACTTAGAATCATCAAACTTGGCCAATTTATGCATCTTAGGTAGAAGGTGTGTCGCGACCTATTTTAAGGTCACTGTGACCTTTAATTTGAAAGGAATTTTTAAAAAAATGTCTTTTTTTTCTATTCATTTACACATTCAAAAAAATGTAAAACTATTGCACTAACCTTATTAGAAAAATGTTAAATCAAGAAAATACTTATTTTTTTAGCATAAACTTGACAGCAATCTAAACAAATATAATGTAGGTTAGAGAAATTCCACCACTCCCATGAGTCTAATTATCAAGCACTGGTCAAGAAGAATTTTGATAACAGAAAATTGCATGTCAAATTAGAGAGAGAAATTAATGAGTTTAGTGTGAGGAGTAGCTGTCAGAGCATCAGTGCTATCTATATCCCTTGAGTATTGGGCCAAATAGCCTGTTGGATTAAAAATAGATCTTGTTGGCTAGCCAAAGGTTTAAAATGAATTTGATGAGAAGTAATTAAAACTAATTTGATATTGCATATGAAATTATTTTGATATTACATAATATTATGAACTTAAAAATTAATTTAATAGGGGTAGGGGTGGAATCTGCATGTCCATATGAATTGCATATTAACAATTAACTGTCTGACATTAAATCTAAAAAAAAAAAAATCATTGATGTTTTATATGTTTTAAAAATGTTTTATGGTAGTTGTGCAGATCCAATAATCTTTTGGGAGTAATGAGTAGACAAGCATCCAGTTAAAGATTAATTAATGTGTTCAATGTAGGAAGGCTAGCTGCATGTCTCTTTCATTTCTTAAGAGCATGATTTTATCTGTATCCTTCGGGAATTAGACAGAAGAACTGTTGGTCAGTTTATATTTGATGGCCAGCCTTTTATTTCCAAAATTAATTAAGTATAGATTAAATTGTGAAGACTAATTTGATATTGTTTAATATGATAGGCATTTGGCAAGGCATAGAAATCTATGAATGATGCAATATTTGTTATAATTAATGCCTACACCACAGGGGATGGATAAACAAATTTTTAAGGTGTGTAAAAATCATTGAAATCTTAAAATCAAGGTTGAAATGATTTTCCTGCACTTTTAACTGTTTAAGATACATTGTAATTGTAATTTTTTGACGGGTGTATCATGCTGTGGCGTGGCACTTTATTTAAAGTAGGTCAAGCTCCAAGGTCAAAGGGTCAAAGTTGTTATTTATCCAATGAAAGGTCTTCACAAGGATTACATATTTGAAGTATGGAAGCCCTTGCCCTTACGGGGCAAAAGTTATGGCCGAGGTTCAAACTCCAAGGTCAAAGGGCCAAAGTTGTTGGTATCCAAATCGAATGGAAGTCTTGTGTCAAGGAATACATATGTGAAGTATGAATGTCCTAGCTAGCACCAACCATTTAAAAGTTTTGGCAAAAGTAAAAGCTTGGTATTTTTGTATAAAAGTGTGTCAAACTCCAAGGTCAAAAGTTTAAATTTGGTGGTACCAAAAGAAAGGGCTTGTAACAAGAAATGCAGGCGCAGATCCAGAAATTTTTCCGAGGGGGGTCCACCCAGTCCAAAAAAAATTCAACCAGAAATTTCTTGACAAGCAAAAAAAATAGAAAAACAAAACAACAAAAAAAAACTTACGGAAGCCCGTTGGTGCCACGTATGAAAAATATTTTATCTGGCGGCCGCTACTTATTATTTGGCCGCCACCACATATATATCTGGTGGCCGCCACTTATATATCTGGCGGCCGCCACATAATTTATATGGCGGCCGCCACATAAATTATTTTGCAAAAGGTGAGTGTTATTGGGTTAAGAAGATGGATGTTGACACAACCGCTGCTTATTGATAAAAAAGTAAATGATAAAAAACGAATTCTGAAATATTGGAACACCATTCTTGGAAATCCAAAATGCAAAACTTCATTTAATTCTCAACCAATCATAGTTTACAGCAAACACCATGATTTATGTCCGTGCCTTGATGAGGCTTCTTAATAATCGAAACGCTCTACAAATAGTCAAATACTTGCATAATTCAAATCAAATATTAATCTGCTCTATGCAAAAACATATCTATTAGAAGTGTGGATTGGAGTGTTGGTTCATAATAAATCTCTTACAAGTTTGGTTGATTGATGTTGCTATTATAATTTTTACACTGTATCCACCTCTTAAACCACACATTAAAACATGCGCACGATTCAGGAAGCCAGGTGTTATCTGGCGGCCGCCAAATATTATGTAGCGGCCGCCAGATAAATATTTGGCGGCCGCCAATTAAATAAGTGGCGGCCGCCAGATGTTATATAGCGGCCGCCAGATAAATTATGTGGTGGCCGCCAGAAAAATATGTGGCGGCCGCCATATATTATATAGCGGCCGCCAGAAAAATATGTGGCGGCCGCCATATAGATTATGTGGCGGCCGCCAGATATATAAGTGGCAGCCGCCAAATAATAAGTGGTGGACAAGGTTAAAGTGAGTGCGGACAGACAGATAGAGGGACAGGGCAAAAACTTTATACCCCCTAATCTTCCATTACAGAGGCATAAAAATTAAGTGGGGTGAAAGAAAAGTACATGGTTAAAAAAAAAATGAATAGATTACTTCATTATATATCAGCAACTTTGATGAAAATATCAATTTTTTTTAGGTCACCTGAGTAACTCAGGTGACCTATTGTGTTAACATGTGTTGTCATGTGTTAACATTTGAACATTTTCAGCTTCTTCTCTGAAACCACTGAACCAGTTTCAACCAAATTTGGTATACAGCATCTATGGGTGAAGGGAACAAAAATTGTGAATTTCATGGCCCTCCTGGGGCCTAAGGGGTGGGGCCAAAACCACTAAAATTATTGAAATCTTTAAAAATCGTCTTTACTCTTGGACATCAAGCTGGCAAACTGTTGGCATGAATGTAATGAGCATTGAGTCCTCTACCAAAATTGTGAAATTCATGGCCCCAGGGTCAGGGGTTCTAGTGCTAGGGCGGGGCTCTATAGATTATATAGTGAAAATGCATTAATTCTTTCAAAATCTTTCTCTCTGCTTCTGGGTATTGAATAAACTAACTAAGCACATATAGTTATGATGAGCAAGAGTGCCTCTTCCAGATTTGTGAATTTTATGGCCCCAGGGTCAGGGGTTCTGGTGTTAGGGCGGGGCTCTATTGATAATATAGTGAAAATGCATTTATTCTTTGAAAATCTTCTCTGCTTTTGGGTAAATAAATAAATTAGACAACTTGTTTCAAATCGTTTGTACGATTTAATAAATTGTTTGTACGATTTATTAAATCGTTTGTATGATTTATTAAATTGTTTGTACGATTTAATAAATCGTTTGTACGATTTAATAAATCGTTTGTACGATTCAATAAATCGTTTGTATGATTTATTAAATCGTTTGTACGATTTATTAAATCGTTTGTACCATTTATTAAATCGTTTGTACAATATAATAAATCGTTTGTACGATTTAATAAATTGTACAAACGATTTAACAAACAAATTGTACAAACGATTTATTAAATTGTACAAACAATTTACTAAATTGTACAAACAATTTATTAAATCGTAAAAATGACTTAAGTTGTACAAACGATTTATAAAATTGTACAAACGATTTATTAAATTGTACAAACGATTTATTAAATCGTACAAACGTTTTCTTTAATCGTTCAAACGATTTAAAATTTTTTTTCTACATTGTTAAAATGGCACGAATACGCCGTCGTAGATATTAGTATACTACGAGTTAAAAATTTATTACCACAGCAAAAAAAGTGTTGACAAGTGAAACAGCCACTTTTTGACAGCTTATGACGAAGGTTTAAGTCTCTCAAATGCATGTCAAATTCCAAGGTCTGAGTCATAATGTCAAAATTGTTGTTATCCAAAGAAA